GCTTGGAGGCCGAACAACAACCATTGCTTGCTCTTTTCGTTGCTTTCTGTAATAAGCTTCAAAGGTCTCTTTTTCACCCTGAAATGATAGAGTTAACTGTTAATCATTTTACACAAATAAGCAACCGAATGCCCAATAAAAAATTTAACTAATGCATGCCGTTCGTGAGACAGGTACTTATCAGTTGTGGTAATTGAATGATTAACACATATCTCGCTCCACAAAACCAAACAAGCAACGCTGGAACCTATGCGTTCTAATTATAAAAAAAAAAAAAATTGGCCAGCGCACCGAATGCCGGTGCGAAGAAGATGCATTTTTTCTCCGCAGATTTTTGCTGCTACCAGCACTGCTTTTTTTTTTCAGCAGACGCATCCAGCAAAAAGAACTGAGACCGAACACCACGACTGTCAGAAAATATTTCCATAAAATTTCAGCTTTCTAGCTTTTCTAGTTCTCAAGATAGCAAGTTACCCGCAAGAAACTTACACATAAACCGCGCACAAATGGGAGCTAATATTGAAGTCATTTGATTGCACGCGAACAGAGGAAATACTCTTAAAACTTTAGCTTTCTAGTTTTTCTGGTTCCCGAGTTAGCGACTTATCAGAAAAAATTTTCACGAGCCCGTCCGTGGGAACTACGCACATCTGGAGGCTGGATCTGAACTCGTTATGCCCTACGTAGGCGAGAACATCCCCCTAAAATTTCAGCTTCCTAGATTCTCTGGTTCCCGGAGTTAGCAACTTATTCGTCGGAAATTTTCACGAGCCCGAATATGAGGACCAAGTGGGCAAGAGAGTCCTTCTGGAGGCAGGAACCCGTACATGCATGTAGATTAAGTTCCCCAAGTTTGAGCCTTCTAACTTTTGCAAGTCTCGAGATGAAAGATCGGTACAGACGAACACACAGACACAAACACACACAGACAACCCCTCGACAATATGCGTTTTTGCATTACATCGGTATAAAAAACTTTTAAAAAGTTTCTCACAATGACGTTGAAGATTTGACAGCACCGATGAATTGGCGTGAAATCTATAAGGTCCTGGGCACTGAGTAGCTCGTCCTCGTCCAGAATAGGCATTTGCACAATTTTTCGTTGAGTTTTGTCATCAGTTTTCTTGATAATTGAACCATCGGATGACAGTTCTGCAGTAAGAAAGTTTTGCATAAAAATTCAATTTCTACCTTAGTAGCTTCGCGAGCTACAACTCAAACGCTCATGTGAGCGAAAGTACTAAATCACAACACAGTGAAAGAAAATCAACAATGACAGCTACGTTACGGGACGGGTTATGCTGCATGTTTTGCTGATAATTAGCAGATAGCGCGATGAGTAGAATCCAAAAAACATCTGGGAAGATTCCAAAGAAATGGAAAGACTGAAAGTAACGCACACAAATTCAAGGCATTTAGCTCACACGTAAAAAAACCTAAATATACAACTACACGGAAATGGCCAGCTTCCGTGTACACCATCTAGCACGAGGGTTCTTTCAACCACAGCTTCAAAAGATCTCCTCACTGGGCTCGTATGCTA